AATGAAAGGTAACTGCAAGAACAGAGTATCTATAACACAAACACATTTGCTTCCCTAGTTTAACATAGAGCCCTAAATGCCCTTTGATGCAAGATACCCTAGAATAGGAGACATAGTCCTAGATCCTCAAAGATGTTTAGGTGTCTAATTCCAACTGAAATCATTATACCTTTGAGGATCTGGGCACTAATATACAATTAGTTTTCTTTTTATTCAGTATTACTTCTTACTTGTCTTTTTACCATTTCTGTGAATTGCAGTAGCCAGCTGTTAGATTATGAGAGTTAGTTGGGTGTTTGTGATGACTTGTGGCACTTATCTATATATAGTTTGTGAATGCTGTTTGATTTTATCAGCTCTTTGCATATTTATGCCCTTCTGGCTGTCCTCTGGTGTATTCTTGAATCATACTTCTTGGGCTAAGGAGAGGGGGGCTGGTGTCTGGATGTCTGCCTCTGAATGGGATAGGCTTTGAGGATCATCAGTTGAATGAGCCTTGCCCTAGTAGAAAAATGGCATGGTTGCAACCTAAGTAAAACCAGTTTTTCAAGTGTGGACTCTGTTGAACGGTAACCACTGAGAGAAATCCTTGGTTACCTGAGGGAGGTTTTGAGGCTGACCAGGAGGGTCACATGACAGAAGGATTAGAAGTTACAAAAGGAGCGGGTCTGTTCTGAGCAGCTCTGTCACACCAACCAGAACAGGAAGAGAAAACTGACCTGGAGGAGTGAGGTCTATGAGAGGGGAACGGTTAGAGTTACCAACTTTCTATTTGCTGAAAATCAGACCCCCGAGGCCCCATCCCCACCCCACCTCTTCCCCTGAGGCCCTGCTTCTGCTCTGCCTCTTCCCTTGAGGCCATGCCCCCTCCTCCACCTCTTCCCCAAGGCCACGCCGCCACTCACTCCTTCTCCCCCTCCCTCTGTCGCTCACTGCTCTCCTCCCTCCCCCTTGCTCATCACTGGATCATCTCCACCTCCCTCCCTCCATCCCCAGGGTGGACTCACTCTGCTCTGGGGGTGGCACAGGAGTTGCAGCCTGGCACAGAGCCTGCCTCCCTGCAGATAGGAGGCGGCACTGGCTGAGCTGGGGCTGGCATGGGTTGATGACCTGGCACCTGCATCCCACCCCACCCCTGGCGGTAACCAGACTTTTAGTATCTGGTCAGTGCATCTGACCAGACACTGCCAGGTCCCCTTTTCAACCAGAGTTTCTGGTTGAAAACCAGGCATCTGGCAACCCTTCCCAGGACCCTAAAAGACATTGAACAGATCCCAAAGAATGCTCAAGAGTGGTGAGGAAACTGAGGCATACAGGGAGGGGAGGTGCAGGGAGGGTATAGTTTGCGGGTGCTGGAGGGGTGTGTATGTACTGGGAGGGGGAATTTTTGGAGTACTGGAGAGGCTATCTGGGGGTTGCTGGAGGGAGATCTGCAGTCTCATGCCTGAGGTGGGAGGGAATGTTGCTCCCTGTCATGGTGGCAGGGCGACTGCCTCAGACCGGGACACAGTGCCAGCCATCAGTCAGCACCTCCCTGCGGGACTCTGCCCTTCCCCAGGGTTGGGACCCAGGGCCTGGGTTGGCTGGAACCTGCAGCTGCAGGGAAGGGACCAATCAACTCTGGCTGCAGGTGAGGGACCAGTCCAGGCACAGAGACCTGCTCTTTCAGAGCTGCAGTGTCCGCTCCACAAAAATCCCAGACATTTCCTCTGACTTGAAAAATCCACCTGGACAGAGGGTTGCCAGGCGTCCAGTTTTCAATCGGAATGCCCAGTCTAAAGGGGACCCTGCTGGCTCTGATTGGCGGCGCGGGGGGGGCAGGGCTAAGGCAGGCTCCCTGCCTGCCCTAGGTCTGCGCGGCTCCCGGAAGCAGCCACCAGGTCTTTGCGATCTGTATGTGCATGGGTGGCCAGGGAGGCTTCGCATGCTGCCTCCGCCCTGAGGGCCTGCCCCACAGCTCCCATTGGCTGGGAACCACAACCAATGGGATCTGTGGGGACGGCATCTGCGGGCACGAGGGGAGCGGGTGGAGCCTCCCTGGCCGCCCAGGCGCCTAAGTATTGCAGGAACCTGGCAGCCGCTTTCTGGAAGCTGCGGTAAGCGCCGCCAGGACCCTGAACCTCCTCCCGCCCCCTAACGCCATGCCCCAGCCCTGAGTCTCCTCCTGCATCTAAACTCCCTCCTGGAGCTCACACACCAACCCTCTGCCCCAGCTATGAGCCCACTCCTGCACCCAAACCCCTCATCCCCAGCCCCACCCCAGAGCCCACACCCCTGCCAGAGCCCTCACCCCCTCCCACACTCCGGACCCCTCAGCCCCAGCCCGGAGCCCCCTCCTATACCCCAAAGCTCTCATCCCCGGTCCCACCCCAGAGCCTGCACCCCCAGCTGGAGTCCTCACCCCACGCACCCCAACCCTCTAGCCTAGAGCCCTCTCCCACACCCTGAACCCCTCATTACTGACTCCACCTAGAGCCTGCACCTCCAGCCCAGAGCCTATACCCTCCCCTGCATGCCAACCCTCTGCCCCAGCCCGGTGAAAGTGAGTGAGGGTGGGGGAGAGCAAGTGACGGAGGGAGGGGGGTTGGAGCAAGCGAGGGCAGGACCTTGGAGAAGGGGCGGGCCAGAGGTGGGGCGGGGGGTAGGGCAGAGATGTTCGGTTTTGTGCCATTAGAAAGTTGGCAATCCTATGAAGGGCAGAGGATCAAAAAAGAGGAAACATCTGGGAAAACCTGGATGAATGGTAACCCTAACAGGCTCCCACTTCCCAAGAATGGGTACTAGACAATCTATGCCCAGGGAGTGAGCCTAGGGGCTGAAGAAAGTGCCAGAAGCCTACTCAGACCCATGTGAGCTTAAAAGATCACAGAGCCAGCAGATGGGCCCAAACCCAGCAGCTCGGTGAGTGTCACAGAAAAGGACCATTGGCCTATGATAGCAGTTAAGGCACTAGGCTGGCACTCAGGTAGAGCTGGGGTCAGTGCCTGCCTCTGCCAGTCTTCAAGAAAACCACTTAATCTTTGTTTGCCTCAGTTCTCTCTGTAAAATGGGAATTAATAATTCTTTTCTCCACCCTTTTTCCTGTCTATTTAGGTTCTGAGCACTTTGAGGCAGGGACTGTTTCTCACTATGTGTATTTACAATGGCTACCACAATGGGGCCATGATCTTGATTTGCCGACCTCTAGGTACTACCGTAATAGAAATACATTGTAATAACTCACTGTTAACCATGCTCTTTGCACAATCTCTTCTTGCATTTGAACGCTGTTTTTAGGAAAGCCCTTTGATATCGCTATAATTATGAATGCTGCAGTTGCCAATATCATTGTGTCAATATTACTTGGAGAACGGTTTGACTACAAAAATCCCACATTCTTAAGACTACTAAGTTTGATGAGTGAAAACATCAGGCTGGCTGGAAGTCCATCAGTTACGGTAATTCTGGTGATTTTAACATCACTATTCAAGTGCGTGCAGTACACACACAGTAATTGTGTGCTGTATACTTACATGACATCAAATCATTTCTACCAATCAGAATAAGTCCAACAAATAAGAGGATAATACATATGTCTATCTATCTATACGCCCCTATACTTACCATCATAGTAAGTGGGTGTCTGCCAGATATTTATGGATTTATTCTCACAACATCCATGTGAAATACTAGTTTCCACATTTTAGAGATGGTGAAATGAGGCACAGAGAGCTTAAGTGACTTGCCCTAGGTAACGTAGGAAGTCTGTGACAGAACTGGGAATTGAAACTACCTCTCCTGGATCCCAACGTATCCTTAATAACAAACCCATTAAAACTGTCTGACAATAATTCATTTGAAGTTCAGTGGCAGTTGTATATCAATTCTGGAGGACATGAACCAAACTAGCTCTGAAATGAATTCCTTAGTAGTTCATATATTTATATATGTAGATGAAATGAGTTTATATTATAACAAATCTATAGAGACTTAGGACTTCCAGGCAGTCAATCGCTAGCATGTTACACAGCTTGGTGGTAGTGGAAATACAGATAAAATCCTTCTGCTCCAGAAAAACTGGGTGTTTCAGTTCCCAGACTCACAGCACCTCTAATCCCCTCTGGTCTCTCTGAGCACAGCCCCTCTAAGTCTCATGCCCTAGGCCATCACATGCCTCTCAAGATGGAATCCGGGAATTCTCCCACACTCAGACTAGGTCCTAGGTTGCACTCCCCTGCTTAACAACCACAATCACTCCAGCAGCAGGTCTGACCTATGCAGAGGCCTTGGGCATTGGTACATCTTGATTCATTGATCATAGATTCCAAGGCGAAAGGGTCCATTGCGATCATCTAACCTGACCTCCTGTATCACACAGGCTGTAGAACTCCCCGCAAATAATTTCTAGAACTGATCTTTTAGAAAATCATCCAATCTTGATTTAAAAATTGGCAGTGATGGAGAATCCACCACAACTCTCAGTAAATTATTCCAGTGGTAATTACTCTCACAGTTAAAAATGTCCACTTATTTCTTATTGTCTAGCTTCAACTTCCAGCCTTTGCATCATATTGTACCTTCTCTGCTAGACTGAAGTCCCCGTTATCAAACATTTGTTCCCCATGTAGCTAAGTATAGACTGTGATCAAGTCACCCCTTAACTTTCTCTTTATTAAGCTAAATAAATTGGGCTACTTGAGTCAATAAGGCATGTTTTCTAATCCTTTAATCATTCTTTTGGATAATCTCTGAAATCTCTCCAATTTTTCAACATCCTTCTTGAATTGTGAAAGCAGAACTGGACACAGTATTCCAGTAGTGGTCAGATCAATGCCAATTATAGAGGTAAATAATCTCTCTACTCCTACTCGATATTCTCCTGTTTATGCATCCCAGGATTATATTAGCTCTCTTGGCCACAGCATCACATTGAGAATTAATGTTCAGCTGATTATCCACCCTCCCCCCCAAATCTTTGTCAGAGTCACTGTTTTCCAGGAGAGAGTCCCTTATCATGGAGGTATGACCTACATTCTTTGTTCCTAGATGTATACATTTACATTTAGCCATACTAAAATGCAGGGCCATCCCTAGGGAGGGTGCGGGGCCTGGAGGAGAAGCAGAAGCTCTCCCTCAGGTCGAAGGGGTGGAGATGGGGGTAGCCTCCCCTAGCCAGCGGTTCACATGCTGCTCATTTAGCACCGACCAATTGCGCCGAACCGCAGGGCTCCCCAAAGCGCGGGGCCCAGAGAAGTCGCCCAGATTCGCCATCCCCTAGGGATGGCTCTGCTAAAACACATAGCACTTGCTTGCGCCCAGTTTACCAAGCGATACAAATCACTCTGAATCTGTGACCTGACCTCTTCATTATTTACCATTCCCCCAATTTTTGTGTCATCTGCAAATTTTATCAGTGATGATTTTTTGTTTTGTTCCAGTCCATTGATACCAATGTTAAATAGTGTAGGGCCAGGAACTGATCCCTGCAGAACCCCACTGGAAACACACCTGCTTGTTGATGATTCCCAATTTACAGTTACATTTGGAGACCTAGCCATTAGGCAGTTTTAATCTATTTAATGTGTGCCATGTGTGACAAAGTTCCGCCTCTACCTTGGTGGGTCCTGCACTTATTGGTGGATTTGCTCACTTCACAGATCCACCCTGTGGGTCAGGAAACAGTCCAGAGACCTTCCCCTCTGGTAGGAGCTATAGTCCAGGTCAATTCCTCCTGTGTTTGATCAGGAGTTAGGAGGTATGGGGGAACCCGGGCCCGCCCTCTACTCCGGGTTCCAGCCCAGGGCCCTGTGGACTGCAGCTGTCTATAGTGCCTCCTGTAACAGCTGAATGACAGCTAAAACTCCCTGGGCTACTTCCCCATGGCCTCCTCCCAACACCTTCTTTGTCCTCACCACTGGACCTTCCTCTTGATGTCTGATAATGCTTGTGCTCCTCAGTCCTCCAGCAGCACACCCTCTCACTCTCAGCTCCTTGTGCCTCTTGCTCCCAGCATCTCACACTCACTTCCGCTCCCCAGCTCCCCCTGGCTTGACTGGAGTGAGCCCTTTTATAGCATCAGAGGGGCCTTAATTGGAGTCAGGTGCTTAACTGCCTCACCTGACTCTTAGCAGGTTAATTGGAGTCAGGTGGTCTATTAGCCTGGAGCAGCCCCTGCTCTGGTCACTCAGAGAACAGAAAACTACTTATCCAGTGACTAGTATATCTCCCTTCTGCTACTCTGCTGTTCCCAACTGGTCTGGGTCTATCACATATGTTAATTCTATATCCTTCTAGGTTTTTTATTACAATGTCTTGCTGTACCAAGTCAAAGGCCTTATAGAAGTCTGTTTATTACATCAGCGCTATTACCTTTATCAACCAAATTTGTAATCTCATAAAAAAAGTCAAGTTAATTTCACAGGATCTATTTTCCATAAGCCCATGTTGATTTCCATTAATTACATTACCCTTCTTTAATTCTTTATTAATCAAGTCCCACATCAGCTGCTCCACTATCTTACCTGGGATCAATGTCAATTATCCGAGTCACTCCACTCACCCTTTCTAAAAATTGTCACAACATCTCTGCTAGTGGCACACAATAGTTTAGTCTCACCCAAGTTATTGGGCTCAATAAGGGGTAACTGGCTGGGGTTTAGAGTGGCCTCCCATGTAGAAGATCAAATGAGATGATCTGGTGTTCCTACTGGCCTACATCTATACCCTGCTGTTCTGTTCCCTCCGGGGCAATGACAGTAGAAATTAGCAACCAAAAAGCCTCCTTAGGAGAAAGTATTATTGATTTAGAACAGAGGCAATTCAGAGAAAACCAATCTTAAAAACAAGCAAATCTCCTGTCATCATCATCATGTTCCCATTACGCCTTCGGTGTTTCGGGCAGCGATGAAGCTCCTCCACTCCTCTCTGTTTTTGGCAAGTCTTTCAATGGTTCCCCAGCTGTGCCTCAGGTTTTTCAGCTCGGCTTCCACAGCTCTTCGCCATGATGTTTTCGGGCGGCCTCGTTTTTGCTTCCCTTCAGGTGTCCATCTTATTGCTACTCCAGTGATAGAATCAGTTTCCATCCAAATCACATGGCCAATCCATCTCCAATACCTTCTTGGCTGCACTGTGCAAATAGATCCTGGTTTGAGATTGTTCTGGGCTGAAAGATATGGAGGATTTTTCTCAGGCAGGTTAGATGGAAAGAAGACAATTTGGACATGTGTCATACTTTGTCATTCCCCAGCATTCTGCATTATAAAATAATGTTGAAAAGTCTCCTGTATATATGTCTAATTCTTCCCTAAGGCCGCCCATGTCCTGGGCCTGGGCACCCAATTCCTTCAGACTCTTCCACAGAACCTGTCAGTGTCAGCCTGCCGCCTTAGAGTAATGACCCCCTGGACAGCCCCTGGTGACTGACAACCCCCTACCTCATCAGAGATTCAGAGAGCTTATGGCCAGAAGGGACCATAAAACCATCTAGTCCGACCTCCAGTGTATCACAGAACATTAAATTTCACCCAGTTACCAGTGTATTGAGCCCAATAACTTGGGTTAGAATAAAGCAGTGTTTCTTGGCCCACGGACTGCTTGTGACCCAATCAGCATGCAGCTGCGGCCCCTGTGACACCCTCAGGGCCATACAGGTAGTATATATATTATGTGGATGTGGCCCACATAACACATAGAGAGCTGCGTATGTGGCCCACCATGGTAAATAGATTGAGAACCACTGGACTAAAGCATTTCAGTCCCCAGGAGACTGAACTGTTGTGTGCTACAGGCAGACAACAGGAGAGACCAAGGTGCCAATGCAGTGGCAGGGAAATGATTAGGTAGGACATGCCCAGTTGATCCCTTAAGTCTGTACTAGGCTATTCTTATCTCAGAAGTCATTGTGTGGCTTCCTTGTTTGTCCTTCCCACAGCCCTTATTGAATTCAAGCATTATTGTTTATAACAAACATTCTCCTATGCTAATATGTGTTATACAGTCCATCTAAATAACTAAGATACAAGTCAGTAATCATAGATTCTTACAGAGCACCTCCTACAGGATTCATAACATTTATTCCATTTCAGCTCTCCCTTCTGTCATAGTGAGTTAAAAGAGAAACTGTATTAACAGTAGAGCTGGTTGAAAAATGAAATGAGACTTTTGAAAAAAAATCATTTAGTTGTGTTTTTTTCTGTACAAATTTGACATTTCAAGGGTTTGTTTGTTTGTTTGTTTGTTTTGACTAGCTCTGGTTAGCAATATAGAGCCTCTGAGATACTGATGAGCAGTTCTGATTCCATCCAGTGGACGGCAGTAGTTACACACTATCCAGATTGTTACAATATATTCAAAGTGTGACTACTTAATCTACCTTCTGGGATACATGTTCAAGCGATAGAAAATTCATGATTGTTTGGTGGCACAATGCCAAAGATAAAAGAACCAGGAGGGAGAGCAGCCTAGGAATTCTTGCCCAATTCTGTGCCTCAATTTCCTTATCTGCAAAATGGGCATAATGACAGTCACTTGCTTTTATGAATTGCTTTTAGATCTTTGGCAGATAAGTGCTATAATAAGTGTTAAGTATTCTCATTACTTATTTTTGCTTACTCTGATATCTTAAATTCTTTCAGCTATATAACATGTTCCCAGCCCTTGGATTTCTACTCAGGAATTACAAGATTCTTTTGCAAAACACAAGTGAATTTCACTCTTTTATACAGCGTACTTTCATAGAACACCTGAAAGAACTGGACCAAAATGATCAGAGAAGTTTTATTGATGCATTCCTTGTAAGACAGCAGGAGGTAATTATGATCGCTGCAGACTTACATGTTTCCTTTTCATATTTTATATTTTAAAACATATTTACATGAAAATTTAGCATTGGTAAAGTATGCAACTAACAAACTAGCAGAGTTGAGCAAATAGCTTGCTATGACTAATGTATACAACAAATTTTGGCCCCAACTTTGCAATAAGAATTACATGGATGGAACATTTGGCCTGCATGGAGTCCCCTTGGTTTCAGTAGTTCAGGACGTCCACCTATGCAATTCTTGCAGCAACCAGGGATCAAAATCTCTTTCATTGCTAGTTGAATAGCCCTCTGTTAATTGCAATTTCCTCAAATGTATTCATTGTTTGAATTTGCTTGACAAATGTCTTTCCAAATGTTTATTTGTTGGAGTAATCCAGAAAGAGTCAAACTTCTAACTGTTTTGGTTACTTGTGATTGATCAGATTAGTCACATAATATTTTTTCTATTACTATTTTATTATTACAATAGCACCTAGGAGCCCTAGTTATGGGCCAGGACTCCATTGTGCTAGGCAGTGTACAAAAGACAGAGTAAATAGCCAGTCCCTGTCGCAGAGAATTTACAGTCTAAGAATAAGACAAGAGACAAGAGATGGATATGGAGATGTGAGGCGATGTGGACATGAGGGAGCACAAGGAAACAGTGAGACAATATTAGTCAGCATGATAAGCCATGGTGTCAGTAGACTGCTGTCAAGCTTTCTGTAGACATCACAGCAAAGGATCATTTTAAGGGGTATTTAAAGAAGGAAAGTGTGTTAGTTTTAGAGATGTTCAATATCATCATCAATTATTTAGATAATGGCATAGAGAGTACACTTATAACGTTTGCAGATGATATCAAGCTGGGAGGGGTTGCAAGTGCTTTGGAGGATAGGATTAAAATTCAAAATGATCTGGACAGACTAGAGAAATGGTCTGAAGTAAATAGGATGAAATTCAATAAGGACAAATGCAAAGTACTCCACTTAGGAAGGAACAATCAATTGCACACATACAAAATGGGGAATGACTGCCTAGGAAGGAGTACTGCGGAAAGGGATCTGGGGTCATAGTGGACCACAAACTTAATATGAGTCAATAGTGTAACACTGTTGCAAAAAAAAAAAGCAAACATCATTCTGGGATGTATTAGCAGGAGTGTTGTAAGCAAGACACGAGAAGTAATTCTTCGACCCTACTCCGCACTGATTAGACCTCACCTGGCATAGTGTGTCCAGCTCTGTATGCCATATTTCAGGAAGATGTGGACAAATTGGAGAAAGTCCAGAGAAGAGCAACAAAACTGAGTAAAGGTCAAGAAAACATGACCTATGAGGGAAGATTGAAAAAAAATGGGTTTGTTTAGTCTGGAAAAGAGAAGACTGAGAGGGGACATGATGACAGTTTTCAAGTACATAAAAGATTGTTACAAGTAGGAGGGAGAAGAATTGTTCTTCTTAACCTTTGCGGATAGAACAAGAAGCAATGGGCTTAAATTGTAGCAAAGGAGGTTTAGGAAAAACTTCTTAACTGTGAGAGTGGAATAAATTGCCCAGGGAGGTTGTGGAATCTGCATCATTGGAAATTTTTAAGAGCAGGTTAGGCAATCACCCCTCAGGAATGGTCTAGATAATACTTAGTCCTGCCACAAGAGCAGGGGACTGGACAAAATGACCTCTCGAGGTACCTTCCAGTCCAATGATTCTATGAAAACACGAGAGTGCTTGTTTGAAAATGTAACACATGGGCAATGAAGGCTGGTGTCACTGGTCAGTTGGAGCCGGGACTTGACATCTTAACAATGAATGAGAGAAGATGGGTAGGGTGGGAATTGGTGGTGAAGGGCCTTGAGAGTGAAGACTTGATACATTTGAGAATTGGTCCGAAATCAATGAGATGAAATTCAATAAAGACAAAAACTGCATTTAGGAAGGAAAAATCAAAAGCAAAAATACAACATGGAGACTCATTTGACTAGGCAACAGTTCTGCAGAAAAGGATCTGGGGGTTATAGTGGATCACAAAGTGACTGTGAGTCAACACTGTGATGCAGTTGAGAAAAAGGCAAATGACATTCTGGGATGTATTAACAGGAGTGTCATATGTAAGTGGCAAGTGATCATTGCCCTGCTCTGCTCAGCACCGGTGAGGCATCAGTGGGAGCACTGTGTCCAGTTTTAGGCACCAGATGTGAACAGAATGGAGACAGTCTAGAGGAGAACAACAAAAATGGTAAAAAGTTTAGAAAACCTGACCTATAAGGAAAGGTTGAAGAACTGAGCATGTTTAACTTAGCAAAGAGGATGCTGTGGGAGAACATGATAATAGTCTTCAAATAAGTAAAAGGTTGTTATAAAGAGGGCAGTGGTCAATCGTTCTTCATGTCCTCTGATGGTAGGACAGGAATTAATCAGTTTAGTTTGCAGCAAGAGAGATTTAGGTTGAATATTAGGAAAATCTTCCTAACTATAAGGATAGTTAAGTAGAACAGGTTACGTAGGAAGGTTGTGGAATCACAGTGTTTCGCGGGGGCCGGGCGAGGGATCTCCAACCCCGGAGTACCCACAGAGAGTCGGCGCCTACGTGTGGAATCCCTGTCATTGGTGGTTTTTAAGAACACAGTTAGACAAACACCTGTCAGGGATGTTCTGGGTATACTTAATATTGCCTTGCCATGGGGGGTGCACTCGATGACCTCTTGAGCTCCCTTCTGACCCTACGTTTCTATGATTCTCTATTGGAAGCAATCAGAAGGGGAAGCCAGTGGAGGGATGCAGAGAGGGGTGACATGGTCAAAGCAATGGGCTGGGAAAAGGATCTTTCCTTGGGCAGAGGGACAAGCAGGCCACTTTGAAATGCACTTTCTATGAATAGTCTTGCCAGGAAAAGTCAATATCTCAGATATTTGCAGAAAGATTGGTGTACTTGGTCAAAAGGACCAAATTTCCTGTGGATTTTTTCTTTGTTGCTGGATTATTTCCCAGTTGCCCAGACATGCATACAATCCATGTGCATCACAAAAGAATGAGAGAATGAACTACAAATAACAATAAAGTATAAAAAGAGCAAAAAGAATAGGGCATGATTGTTGCTTAATGGATCAAGCAATGGAGTGGGACTTGGATGATTGCTGGCTCTGTTGCTCATCTCCTGGGTGACCTTGGATAAGTCATTTAGCTTCTCTGTGCCTCCATCTCCCCATCTATAAAATGGGTCTAATGACATTTGCCTCCATTATAAGCACTTTGAGATCTGCTAATTATTGTTTATGAAATAGGTATTAATGTTATTAAGAGTGTAGCTGGGTGGTTACCCCGTTCCTGCCCTGAAGGGCTTAAAACAGTCCTGGAAGAGGGCTGTGGTAGGGGAAAAGCTGGGCTGATTGGGGAAGCAGCCGCAGCTGGGCCACGTCTCAATCAGGCCATAGCTGGCCTGTATAAAAGGCTGTGAGCCAGCGGCCCACGTGGCTCTCTCTCCAGGCTGGGAGAGAGCAGGGCCTGGCTGCTTGCAGAAAGGGTACTGGGAGTGAAGCAGGGCTGGGGAGAGGCAGGGGAGCTCCAGGCTGGCAACTCCCCAGGCTGCAGGGCCTGGTCCAAGGCCCATAAAGGTACTGGGAGGCAGGCAAAGGCAGCAGGTCTGAACCCCCTTGCCTATGATGAGTGGCTTTTACACTACAGTCTGCCCCAGGGAGCAGGGGCTTAGTGATGACTGGCAATAGTCCAGACTGATGTGAGGTGGAGATTAGAGGGTTGGGAGTTCCCCAGAGAAGTGAGACCCAGAGGCAGAATGTGGGGGTATTGCCAGCACCCCAGATAAAAGGGCACCAGGGTCTGAGAGGGACACAGGGCCGGAAACAAGTGGGACACCGGCCTGCAGAGGGCACCCAGGCTGGAAAAGAGCTAATTCCCTGAGACAACCAGCAGGAGGTGCTGCAGGGGAGAGTCCCACACGTTTACAAAGAGTCCATTTGCATTGCCAAAGAAACCTCTAGCAAAGATACAACTGACACCAAGAAGAGTGGGATCACTGTCCAGTAGGCTTTGCATATGTAACCTTCACTGGCCGGGACTAATTCAGTGCAGAATATTTCACCATAATAGTGTTACAATAATCACCTGTCCTGATCTCCATTGTTTGCTTAGATGCATGAGTACAGATGGTTGATTGTGCAAGATGGCAAGCTGCACATGTATGTGTGTCTGAGGTTGGACTCAGTCACATGTGGAGTAATTGTCCTGAGCTGACTCAGTTAGGTCTGGAAGACCATAGATTGAACTGCACTCAGCATGTTAGCTTCCTCAGCCTATGGCACTCGGGCTAGTTGTGGTTGCGTAGGAAAAATGCACTTCTCTGTGAGCTTGATTGTGGAAGGTGATGAGCACTCTGACTGGGATCCAGTGAAACACTTCAAACATGCTTAACTTTAAGCATATTCCTGATTCCTGGCATCAGTGGCTCTACCCTTGTGCTTAAAGTTAAGCACATGCTTATGTGCTTTGGTGAATTGGATCCGGAGTGCTCAGCACTTTTCAGGACTGATCCTTAGTAGAGAAGATACCAATATGTTTCTGAGGGCATCAGATCAAAGCCCTCTTGGTTCTTTAACATTTATTTTTTACTGTATACTTTATTATTTAGTAAATATGTTTTAGCTCTCTACGTTATAACTGCCCACTGGAGTTCTTAGTGTGTTCATTTTTTTTTTTCAGGAGAAAAGTAATCCCAATGGATATTTCCATAATGCCAACTTAAAAAGCCTTGTGCAAAACTTGTTTGCTGCTGGCATGGAGACCACTTCCACCACGCTGCGCTGGGGACTTCTGCTAATGATGAAATACCCCCAAATTCAGAGTAAGTGCTTTTGTGACAGCCGCTAGCTTGACTGGCACAGGAGGGTTGAACAGGAAAGCTGGGGAGCTAAAAGCATAAACTGCTACAGCTTTAGAGCTAAAGAGTCAGGCCTGACCGCAGAGAGCTGTAACAGATCCATATCCTCAGTAGATCAGGCACAGAGTGAGACATGGAACAATCACTTACCCGTGGGTTATGCTTTTATTTCCTTAGAGCCAGATTCTGATCTCAGTTACACCTGTGTAAACCCGGAGCTATTCCATTCTACTCATTAGAATTGCTCCAGACTTTACACTAGAATTTTGCTCTTGAGAAGCAGAACAATTCGGAGCAGAATTTAAATGGTCATAACTGTGAACACAGTTGTAATAATTGAGACCACACAGACCTACTTGAATTGTGAGCCTACCCCTTGGAAAGTGGGTGAAGGGTCATGAATTGTCACAATCACGTGTTATAGATAATTGTTTAAGAAAAGATTTAAGAAGGAGACAAACGGAATTAATTGAAACAGGGAGGAGGAGGTGTCTCCTGGACCCTGTTATGAGTGTGACTAGTAAACAAGAGGAAAAGGGAACCAGAATCAATGGATCAAAATTGTTACTTTGGAAATTAGACCTAATTGGTGCACAAAATAATGAGAGGATGGACCGTTCTATCCACCACTCTTGGGGTGGGCCTTAAAAAGACACTTGGGAAGTTAAAAAAGGACCTTCTACAACCCCCGCGGTTGCAGCAGAAGGATTTTTACCATAACACTCAGATTTTAATACGCCAGTAGGGATGCTTGACCATCATCACTGCCCCAGCAAGGACCCAACCCGATACATGTGAGATCTTGTTCTGTCTTCCCCTCCCTCTTGTGTCTCTTTCCATTCCACACAATCTGTGTGTGTGTGTGTGTGCACTTTTCACCTGATCCTGAAATCAACTGCACTGTCCTGCACCAGCATGACCAGGTGAGACAACCCATCCAGATCTGGTTGTCCTAAGAAGGACCAGTGAAGGAGAGGGACATTAGCCGACCAACCAAATGATGTTCCTGGTCGAGGAAGCAAGCTGGGGTGCAAAGCAACAGCTGTCATGGCCCAACCTGCCAGCCTAAAGCATCTATCTCTGTGTGACTGACCCGCTGCCCTGTATTCTGAGAACATCAACAAAAGCTGTGTTTCCCCCACCTGTCCTATCATATCTCTTCTCTCCCCTCTGTTTCTGTGTGTTCTTGTCAAAAGCAGGAAAGCAAATGTATTCCTGACTCAAAATTGAACAGAAATAATCCATTTGTGCCCACCAAGAAGGACTGTTAGATAGAATAAGAAATTTTAACCAATATTCAACCACTCTCTCAAAAAAAAGACTTTGACAGCTTTTCATTTTTTGTTTTGCATAATCATTCCATTTTAGTTGCAATGGTTTTTGCCTTGTTTTGATTCTTTCCCTTGTGTATATTTCAATCAATACACTTATAACCATTGGCATGAATTTCCTAATGTGTTTGCCATGGTACTAGGCAGGCCAAGGCCTCTGTATACCAAATTCCAAACCTTGCTTAACACTCTTTAATGTTTAACAGTGACAGGGTCATATTAACATCTTTAGCTCTTTGGGCAACACACAGTAAGTTGGGCATGACTTGCATATATAGACCACACACCACCAGCTCTCATTTACTTCACTACAGCTCCACTGGTCTCAATGGAGTTACTCCTGATTACAATGAGGTGAGGTCAAACTCTGGCCACCTATGTTCTGGAGGACCCAGAGTTTGGTTCTGTAATAAAGCAGGTTTTTTGTGGTTGCTGGTTTTATTTTTATGCTTTTTCAGTTGCTTCCCCTAACTCCTTTCTCTTTGACTCTTATAATCACCACACACAAAAACATTGCCTGCACATCTCAAACTCTGTTTCTGACATTCACAGGATCATTCCTTTCCAGTTCTACTTGGTGGCTTCTTGCCTGAAGGCTGCTTCAGGACACCATGAGAAAATTCCTTCATGCATGAAATTGACAGAGTCAACAGGGAAGCCTCAATTGCAAAGGCATTGAAAACTGTTTCATCTGTGATTAGTAAAGATTTTATTTCACAGTGGCCCACAGCCCATTCCCGTTTGTTTGATTAAGTACAGAAGGGCATGATCTAGTGGTCTAACACAGGCCTGGGTGCTAGGAACTCCTGAATGCTGAACCTGACTGTGGCCTTGCCAGCCTCTGTGAAAATGAGAACAATAGTACTCATGCATCTCGGGATTGTTGGGAAGTTAACTAGTTAATGTTTGTAAGTGCTCTGATAGTTTAAAAATAGAACTGTGCAAAGATGGAAGTTCCATTCATGAAGGCTTTTGAGATTCCCCCATAGGGGAAAATTAAAAAAAAATGTTTTGGGGCAATTGAAATATTTTGTTTCAACAAAATCAAAATGTTTCATGTCAAAAGTTGACATTTTAATGTTGTATTATATTATCATATAAAATATGTCATGTAATACAAAAAAATAAAATTGCTAAACAAAGTAGTTTCAGACCAAAAAAAATCAAAATATTTCACTGAAAAAATGTTAAGAATGTGCCATTTTTTACATTGCCAGAACGTACTTTTCCCCAGTTTTCTTCCAGAACAAAATTTCAGCAGATTGACATGATTTCATGAAGCATTTCAGTTTTAACAGAAGAACATGTTCCAACAGAATGTGCCATCAAAGTTTCTGCAACCAGCTCTAGTTTAAATGACTGTCTATTATTCTTTGGCAAGCCAAGTAATAGGATAGGTTACCTGTGTTTTCAGAAGTTCTCTATTTAGTTTTGATATTGACAAATAAATGTTTATAAACTCTAATATCATCAGTACCCCGTTATTTCTGGAAAGAGACAGATTTTGGAGAGCTTACAATAGCACTTTAACATGCGCTTGTGCACCTCTCAAAGCCACAATGCACAGCAGCATTTCTTGGAGATAACTGAATCCTGATCTCTATTATATTTTCTCAGGCAAAGTCCAAGAAGAGATCGCAAGAGTTATAGGATCAGCCCAGCCACGAATCGAACATCGAACTCAAATGCCGTATACGGATGCAGTTGTCCATGAAATTCAGAGGTTCGCTAATATCCTGCCCATGGACTTGCCTCATGAAACTACTGAGGATGTTACTCTTAAAGGCTACTTTATTCCAAAGGTGAACAGTTTGTGGCATTGCTTTTCTTGTGTTCTGCGACATGGTTAAAGTCCCGGTTCAGCTGATTGACCCTTTTAAGTCCTGGTTCATTGGTTCATGTTGAATCGCATTGGAAATCCCGTGGCAGTATTTGCCATAGCCTCGTTCACTTACTGTAGCTTAAATGCTTATACCAAGCTATAGTCAAGCGACCATATTGACCTATGGAATAACTCCACTGACTTGATTTACAGGGAACTTACATCATCCCCTTACTGGCCTCTGTACTGCAGGATGAATCTCAGTGGAAGAAACCAGATACATTCAGTCCTGAGCATTTTCTTGACTCCAAAGGAAAGTTTGTAAAGCAAGAGGCTTTCATGCCTTTTTCAGCAGGTACTTTCTATTTTCATTTACTGCTGTGGGGATTAGATAGCCAAGAATCAACAGACTATAACATAAACTTGTGAGTCTTTAAATCTCATCCTCTGTTTCCCCCTTATGTGAGATAATCTCCCATTTTAGACTGTGCTACTGCTGAAAGCACATGTGCACCATTGGGTACTCTAATTTGCAACTTGAGGGTGCTGTTAGAGTCCCAACTGCTTTTAAATGATCATATATCAAGGGGAACCTGATAACTGTCTTCAAATGTTCCCTAATAAAGTAGTGGAATCCTCGTCAGTGGAGGTTTCTAAGAACAGGCCAGACAAACACCTGTCAGGGATGGTCTGTGTATACTTGGTCCTGCCTGACTGTGGTGGGGGATAGACTAGATTACTGTGATGGGGTCCCCGGGGTGCAAGCTGGACTGTTGAGCCGCTGAGCCCTCTGTCCCACCAACTTGGTATCCCTCTCACTCTGTGATGCTGTTGTCAAGCCACAAACCTCTGGCAGGTACTGCACTTACACAGAAATCCACAGGCAGGGACATACCTAACTGAGTTATATGAATGCTTCTCCTAGCCACTCATGAGCCAACAATAGAGAGGCTCCAGCCAATTCCCCCCAGCTCCCCAGACTTGCTCCCAGAACTGTACCATCTTGCCTTGGTCAGAAGCCTGACCACTGTAAGTTCATTATTCAGTCTGCCCCTCCCTCGATGGGGAAAAGACACACACTAGCCTTT